CGCAAAATTCAAAAACCAAAACAAAAAAGCATATTTTCGCCCATAAGTTCCTATAACTTTATCTTAATATTTATAACTACGTATGATATGAACAAAAATAAAAATATAAGACCATTTAGACGCAGACAATGTTATAGTATTTATTGGTAAGTGCAGATTATTGTGATGATTTGTTAATGTGTTATTTTCATTAAAACGACAAAGCCCTAAAAATTGACTATAGCATTATATTTTGGACATTTTTTTAAATATATTGGAAACAGTGGGAAAGTGGTAAGTCTACGGACTCACAACGCTAAAACCCGGAGTTCGATTCCTCACGGTGGACACAGCAGATAGCCAAATGTGGCTTTGTTCTAAAACAACCCTTCATAATAGAACAATATCTGTAAAATATGACAAGGTAGAGAAATGGTAGGATGACATCAGTTTCATTTATTCCATTGTTCCAATTTGTATGCTACGGCGATAGATAAAGTCTGAATAAGGTAGAAATACTCATCTTTTTCTGTCTGGCATGTTAAACTAAGTAAGTAACTCCATATAAAATTTTGCTATTTTAGTTAAAATTCATTGTGGATGTACAATACTAGTCTACGATTTCTTGCTCCAGGCGTGAAATTAGAAACTAATTTTTACTTTTTTGGGGAATAAAACATAATATCTTTCATAATTAACTCTTTGTTTGTATTTTTAATCAATTTAAAGCAATATATTACAAAATAGTATTCTAAAGTGCACAGGATCACTGATTTTCGATTTATAATACACAATTATTGTTGTAATGTTGTTCTTTCATTGGTGGGTTCTTTTAAATTATCTACTAAAAATAATACAACGTCCAATCCACGTAACGATACCAAGTTTCCTCCTTTAACGTTTCTATAACTTAAACGCTGTGGTAACTTGTAAGCCACGTTTACCGCCATGCTAACTGTACTACACTAACGTAAACAATCAACTTACTTACACTAACTAAAAATGCAGGATAGCTAACACAGACTCAAATATTTTACTAAAACAAAAGTCTGACTGAAATGAAAACACACTGACTGATTCACACTATCGACTAGAAACAATTTTTATCTTTTTTTAACTAACCTGAAACACTCTGAACCTTGTATTTAAAATCTACGTACAATTTACTAGAAAACCCGACGTCGAAGTTTTAGAACTTTCTAGGTGTTTTAAGCCTATCCTATCAAACTGTTTTATCTTTACGTCACCATTACCACTCACAGCTCCTTCTAGCTAACAAATTACAGCATTGAAAATAAAGTTTAGAACATTATTATTTCAAGCTGGAATATCAATGGGATGCTAAATAAATTTTTGTAATAAGAAACCTAACTTTATATAAACATATCCTGAGATGTATGAAAAACATACCAATAATAAAATCGGTTAAGGCAATCTGACAATCTTTTACCTGTCTTATTTTACACTGATTCTCAATACACTTACACCAAATAGTAATAATTATATATACATTTTAAAAGTGATAATATTTTAAAACAAAACTTTCTAAAATATAGCAACACTTCAATATCGTACTTATTCAAAGTGAATAATTTAATGCTACTTTTCTTCTACATATAGCAACTTTTCTAAACTGTATACTTAAACCTAACTCTACCTTTCTTTGAAGTAAAATAACATCCCGCACCATTTTGTCAAGAGAGAGAAGCATATTAGTATCAACATTAACTAAAACTGAATAACCATTTAATAACGAAATATTTACATCTAATTGTACAATGTATGTATTATTTTATAATACCAAACTTACCAAATCTACTACTAAGCTTTTTCTAAGATAGAAAACAAGTATATATATATATATATTTAAAATAAAAGATTAATTTCACACTCAGCTTTCTGAGATACAATAGTATCTCAATCATACACTTAATTGGCAGTTAAACCAGTGAAACAGAAGAGAAAATTACTACCTACCTTCTAGATGGAGTGACGTCTGGGTAACCATTTGTTTCTTCAATCGCACAGGAGGTCGTACGGTTGGGCAAACCCTAGGCTTTCTATCGTTTTTTATGGGTGGGTATTCCCTGTAAGAGCAGTTAAAATACTAACATCACCTGGTTAAACCAGTTATCTTTTACAACTGTAAATTGTTACCATATTCTGAAACGTGTAAAAGGATGTAAAGAAAACCTTTCGGGAAAATTATATTCGTGTTCTTGTTTTCCTTTAAATAAACTAAAATATGGTATTTAAAGATATAGTGTTCTATTCACACTACAGCGAAAGGTGTGAATATGGTATTTAAAGATATAGTGTTCTATTCACACTACAGCGAAAGGTGTGAATATGGTATTTAAAGATGTAGTGTTCTCTTCACACTACAGCGAAAGGTGTGAATATGGTATTTAAAGATATATTGTTCTATTCACACTACAGCGAAAGGTGTGAATATGTTATTTAAAGATATAGTGTTCTATTCACACTACAGCGAAAGGTGTGAATCGTGACACTGAAATATTGTTGGTTTATACAATATTTACGTATCAATCCATTTCTAATTTAACAAGATATGAGATAATACGTATTTATTATAATTAATTAATTTTTACATGTATTTATTGTAATTTATTAACATTTCAGTGAATATTAAGTACTACTGACCTGTCAATAACAGAAATACAATCCTCTTCAAGCTTGGCTGCAGTTTTCTCAACGAGTTGGGAAACTAGTGTCACCTGGTGCTGTGTTTCTCGGAGTAAAAACCTCGAAGCAAACTGTCCTTTCCATGTTGAGCCGTCATACTTCTAGAAAAATATGAGTTTATGTTAAAAGTAAGATGTATTTACATTGGTGAGATAGAAATAGCTGTTTACGTAAAACAAAACTTCTCGTCACATCAGTCCGCGGGGACTAATCTTATCGTTAGTTGTACGTGTAAGCTAGAACTAATTTTGACTATACACTTTATAGTTTATACCAAGCTAGTTTGGAAGTTGGAACAACATAAAGACTTTGCAACAGATTTTTGTGTCAGTTTTGTCAATAAAATGGCAAACATTTCAAATCGTGAGTTCGCTATAAAAACCAGTTTTTAATCTTGTAAAATATTATTTTAAAACTGTTTACCATATATATTTATATATACAATTTGTATAGCTATTTAACCGGGAGGAAACTTAACGTGATAAGCTCATAGTCTAAATTATTTAACTTTATCCAAAGTTTCGAACTAGATAAGTGACGAAGGCAGTTAGTTACTGAACTTGAATTATTAAGAGTGTTTGTTGGCCAGGGAATAAATCTAAATGGTATAAAGTACCATTGGTCCGGCAGGGAGCCGCATCCGCTTTTTTAATTTTAATCATCACACGTTTTTGCCACTTTTGATGTCACTAAAGTGAAAAATAAAATGCAAATTTGTCAAGTTTATACACATGCGCATTGCATTGTAAAAATTACGAGGGATTTGTTTTGCAATAATTTACACCTACTTATATAATGCAAAGTAATCACTATATAATTTGTATCTTTATATAGTTTTAATGTTGAATATGGTTACTGATTGTTATTGATAGGAATGAAAATGAGTTTACATAAGTATTACATGTCTAAAAACATGTCTTTACTGCGCATGCTTGACATTTATTAATACTTGCGATACAACTTCGTTCTAGAGAAAAGCCACATTGTGCTGTCCACCGCGGGGAATTAAACCCCATATTTTAGCGTCGTAAGACTGTAAACTTGCCCGTGACCTACTAGGGGACAAGTACTTAACGAAAATAATTTCCTTACATTGACGTATTTTAATTGGTCGGCAGTGATCTGCCGCTAGGCTCTTCTAATTTTGTATCATGCCGTAGTTTATTTTTACAGCGTGTCTATTGTTACTTATATCGCAGTCCCCCGTTGGAACAACTGTAAATTTCCAGATTTATAACGCTAAAATTCAGGACTTGATTCCAGACGGTGCACAATACAGATAGTCCAGCGTGGCTTTGTTCTAAAACAAACAAATAAACGTTACGTATTTATAGGTAAGTATTATACTTATGTTTCAATTTATACAGTTTGTAGGTCTAGTAAGTTCATAGCTGTGTGTTTAATACTTAGCCTTACAATGAGCACACACAACATGCAAGTTATCAAGGACCAAGTCGTAGCTCCATTGCTTAACTTCAAAGTAATCTAACAGTATCAATATTTCACAGTCAGGCAGTTTTGATGGGGCAAAACAATAATGAAAATATTCAAAAGAGAAATTAAAAAAATAATCTGACAAATTATTGGTGAGGTAAATGCCCCACCGGTTCCGGCGCTCTTGTGCGAGACATTTCATTTTTGTATATTTTGAGTTGTGTTTGTGACACAGTAATAGCAGTAAGAAAATACCGTACCTACAAGAAAATTAGTAAGTGTATATAAGTTTATGTTAGGCCTAACACTCGGTGAACGTTAGGCACATATAAACCTTGGAACGTGTAGTACTTTTAGTTGAACAAAATAAAACGATTTCGTTATCCTTTAAGCATGCAGCATGTAATACATGAGCTGTACTTTATATTCTTCTTTTTACCGGATAGTCCCAAAGAACCTGCTCAACAACAGAATACATTACAAAAATAAATATGGACTAGGCCTTTTCATCGACTTTATTTTTCAGTTTCTATCAATGCATGTTTGCTCCTTCAATAATATACAGAGGGTCTTTGTACACTTCATTTGGTGCTGGTTTAATTATCAACTATTAATAACTTTTCCCTGCTTGTTCATACTAAATAATTTTGTCATGAGATTATGGTGGAAAGCTTTTATTCTTCATCAGTGTTCAGATATTTTCAAAAATGCGCGAAGAAACATTTGTCAAGAACACTTGCTTTTCAAACTGTGAATATTGGGTCAAAAATATTATCAGAAATTATCTTCCGCCCTTTAGTTATTTGGTTGGAAGTATTATTCTTCATATTCACCACTTTTTTTATCGTTTCAATACGAACATTTGTCATATTCGCCATACATTCTAAGTTACGCCTGACTCTATTGTTGTATCGATAGCGTTTAAAGTTGAAGTCAACATTTTAATTTTATGTAGTGAAAACCATTCTAATTGTGATCCAGTGAATATATTGAAAAGTTACAATGCGTGAACTTACCAACTGTTTTCTAAGTTTGTTAGGCAAATAACATAGTAGGCTTGTATTATTATACCAAATACTCACGTGATATTTTATTATACATATTAGGTGGTAAACTGTGAAGCTGTGCTTCAAATCTCCTGACTTTTGTGTCCTAGTTGCTGCAATACTCAAATATAAATCATTTATGAATATTAAAAAAAAGTAAATACTATCTATTACTAGCAAGCAAAAATAAACTGATTACAACTTTTCAAAACCGCAAGACATACTTTTTAAATATAATTATACGTTTAAAATTACGTATGTCAATTTTTAAAAGCCTTTTTTTTCAAAATTCTTCTTGTTATTTTTTTAAACAAATAATACATTGTTAGTAATATTTAAATGTTTATAGCCGAAGAATGTGTTTCAGGATTTAAAATGTTAATTCATTCATGCCTTGATGAGTGTATCCCGTCTAGAGAGCAAATTTGCACTATTGAATTGTGAAATTATATAAAATAAACTTGCAGTAGTTCTTCCACACATGGAAAACATATTCCACGAATGAAAGTTATTCAATAAAAAAATTCATTTATTTATTTGTTATACACAAAAAAAAGGTAAAATAGTAAGTTATGATTTTGGGTGAAGTTCAGCGCATTCCAAACGAACTCATTTGTGTTTTTAAATTTCCTGAATTTTTTCTACCATAATAAGGCACTCATTCTCATAGCGGTTAGAAAGAAAGTCATAATAATTTCAAACAAAGTGGCCATAATTTGACATCATAACTTTTATAAAAGTATAGTTTTATCTATTTTTAGCCAACCCGTGTTCCTTAACTTTGAGAAGTTAAAGCCAAGTGAACTGACCATGCAATGAAAGCAATGTTGTCAAGTCCGCTTATAATAAGCGGAATCGGGCTTGTTTTTACTAAGAGTCGCTTTAATTTTTTGAGAGTCGTGGGTTGCGGTTTTTTGGGCTGGTTTAATTCTGAGGTCTCTTATTTGTTTTTCTTTTTTTGTAATAGCTGACTAACACATAGTAAAATGGTTGCAGGAGCGGTTTCGGTGATTGACTGGGTCAGTGAATAGTCTATACATTATTACAATTCTAGAATCAACCTATCTTCACTGAATTAAAAACACATCCACGTTCTTCAACTTTCTGGCCCGCCCACTTGACATATTATGTATTCCAAATAAGCCGCGCAAATCGCCATTTTGAGGGTAAGCTATAAAGGAGCAGTTTTGTAAGTCAATGCCGCTTGTTTTTCTAGCGAGACTTGCCAGCACCGAATGTAAGCTTTTTTCTGTTCACTTCAACTGTATAACTCAACATGGCTTTCGGTTCAGCGGAAATTCGCGTAGATATGGAAATAAAGTAATAAAAGCTTAGTTTACATGTTAAAAAACATAAGCTAGCTTAGTGATATGTTACTAGGAGAAAAACTGTTTGTAAATAACTTCCACCACAATTACAGTTTTGATTTTTTAAAGCTTGTTCTATCATTTTATACTTTATTTGAATTATAATGTTGCAGTATGATAAGAAAATGATGTTCGTTGAGGAACAAGATGAGGTAGGCTTCTATATAAATATAATAGTACTTTCTGTTGTCTGTTCATGTAACTACTTCGCAGGGTAAGGAGGTTTTTTAGGTCCACGCAGGAGTACATACAAATTTTCAATTTTGCGTTTTGTGGGCGTTTTTTACCACTGCTTCGCCCCCTGTTGATGGACCTTCTTCAAATTTGGCATGAAGGATTGCTGGGTCCATTCAGAGATACATGCGAAATTGCGGTTTCGCATTTTATGTTTTGCAGTTTTTATGGGCGTTTTTGCGTGTTTTATAATTACATATAATGGAAGTAACTTTTCAAGTTCTAAGATAACCTTTCATTAATCATGAATTTACATAACTTCCATCTAGTGGACGGTACTCCAGCTAGTAGTTAAATAATTTTGTGATCGACCAATCAAGAGTTTTCATCAAAAAGGTTGTTGTGTTACATCTTGTTAACATGAGGCCTGATGGGTTTAGATAACTGCTCGAATGACCAAAGAAAATCACCGAAAACAAATATACATACACTAGTTAGTATAAAGGCCTGTCAAAAATGACGGGAAACCATTGTTGAGTGATTAATGAAAATTATACAACTTAACTAAAACGAATTTCTCTGTACATCCAAAATGTAACTACTCTTCACGTATATCATCAGTATCGAAGTCATTCTTTAGTCACCATTTGTAGTAAAAACTACGCAGAAAAATTAAATGTTATCGTGAACAAAAGTATATGTGTACTCTGAAAGAGACTTAAATAGCACTCTTGAGCCTTTTCACTGTATTCTAAGTTAAGAAGTAGAAAACATAGTGCGAACATTCCGACACAAATTTTCAACTCTTTCGACTGCACAAAGGATAAAAAATATTTGGAAGTAATAAACGTTTATTTTCTTTATGTTTAAGGCTAAGTAGGTAATGCCGTTTTAAAATATCAAAAGAATATTCATTAATCAACATTTATTCACCATATTTTAAATACTGATTTTATAACGTTAGTAATAGTAGGTATATTTGTAGTCTAATTTAATACATAAACGTAAAGTAAGGCTTAGCTGAAACACTGCTTGGTAAATTTTGTTTTGCTTTTGGCTACAACTCAATGTCATAAAACTTCAGAATTTACTAGTTTGCTCTTATTTCACCGAAGTTATCAAAAAAAATAAAGAATAAAAATACCTTTATAACAAATCAACTTGAATATTGAGCATTCAACATAAACACCATAGTTGGCCTAAGAACAATTAGGTAATAGTTTTGTTGCTAAGCGACAATGTATATTGTTGAGCATTACCAAAAAAGGAGTATATATATATCTAACGGGTTTAAAACTTATTGCATTAAATAAACCCTCGGATTAACACTTTCAAAAGTCGATTTCCTAATAATCTTAGTGCGGTGAAAAGTTATTTTTATTGGGCACCATGGATCGTAAACACAGTGAAGTTGTATGCGGTATTTTTCAGATTAAAAAAAATAAAAAATATATTTTTATAAAATAAGAAAATTATACAAAAGTTTTATAATAATATAGAAAATCAGCAATTAAAATCTACAAGAAAGGTAAGTATTTTTGTTTCTTTAAAAAAAATGTCATAATGAAATATTTTTGAAGTTTCAAAGCTGTGAATTCATACAAATATCATATAAAAATAAATATTTTATTTGCAGAAACTACATAATCTATAGAAAGTTACTATAAAGTGTGAAAC